TTATCATGTAAATTATTCAGTGTAGATTGAACTGCTATAAAGTAGACAAGATGTAAATTGATGGTTTAAAGTGTTTTGTGATCAACTAGAGCTTTTGGCATGGAAAACACTAGTATCATTAAATAATAATCTGTTAGTAGTAATTTGTCATGACATCATAATTAATAGCTTTTTGATTAAGGAAAATTTCTTAATTGAATAGAGTATTTGTGTAATATTATAATAATTGTATACATGTACCTGCAGTAACACTGGTTTTATAGTATTCACTTGTTGTATTTGCATGTAAGATGTGTCATGTCAGGTTGTGTTATTAATGCTTTAACTTCAACATCAATGCAATAATTGCTACTCTATACTACTGACATTTTTCCTAGTTTGACCCTTCATCTCCTCCATACTAGTTCAGACTGAAGCCCAGCTGCAGTACTGTATGTGGCTCTGACAGAATCTGTTATTGTAGCTCTTGTTCAAATACAGCTTTTAAACGTCTTTAAAGCAAAATCTTTAGCTCCTTTAGCAGACCACACAGGACAGATGTTTGCAGAGAACTATGGATAAATCATCCAGCAGCAAACTAACAACAGCAGCAGTTTGGTGAAGCTCCAGTTCCGCCTCGAGACCCTCCATTGTAACAAGAACCCAAGAGCTGAATGAAAGATACAGTCATGGAGGAGCTGAACCACTAACTTTGTATATGATGTATATAATGATATGATATATACATGCTCACTGACTGTATATATGACGTATGATAGACACTCTTTGACTGTGTATATATCATATGTTGTATACACTCATTGACTGTATATATGATATATACACTCTTTGACTAGTGTATATAGATATCACATACAATGTGCCAAAACAAGATCAAGCAAATAGCGTCAGTTATGTCGTAACAGTGCATGTTAAGGTCCATATAGAAGATGGTAAGCAAGCAGTTGGTTCTCATAGTCGATGTATTATATGCGGGAGATTTTGGCAGGTGTGAGGGTCTTTGAAATTATGTCCAGACGACTGGGTCTCTGAGACAGTGAGGTGGGGTGCTTCCAGTCAGCAGTGCTGAGTACCTAAAGACAGCAGTCAATCCAGATTGATTTTTGATTTTGGACAACAAAAAATACATTGAAATGCAAATGTAAACCACTGTAGAGGTGGTTTGGAATGCAATTTCAATTAGATTTTTACAGATGCGTCTCAGTCTGGACACTCAAATTGGATTTCAAAATGTGTTTTGCGTCACTCACAATACAAAAAACAACAGCAATGTCAAATCCAGAGTGATGAAGTGTTGGGATTCAAGAAGAGCTCCAAATATTCATGATTATGAAGAGAATTCTAAAGAGTTTGGAGGGCGAGATGATGCTCCTCCATCTCTCCTACATCTGCGTTTGAAATCTGTGTCACCAGCGTAGCTGCATAATTACTGACGCCTATGTCGTTACCATGGCAACCCATGCAGATAGACTGGCGATGTCTGGACACACAAATCCGATCTGATTATTTGCAGATAACAGAGGGGACAGTTGCCTCAAAAGATCTGATTTGAGAAACAAAATCAATTTGCCTGCAGTCTGAACACAGACTTGAAGGTTCATAATACTTAATGTAATAATTAAAAGTTCGATCAAGTGAACAGTTCAGTGATAATTTTACATGGAACATCATAAGAACCACTCAAAGCTCTAGCTGTGATAATGTGGAGAATAGATGTTTTATGGTGAAGTGGTGTTTCTGCAACAGGGTCAGGGTGCAAGTCATTCTCAGAAATGAATTAAAACATTGGAGATTTTATAAATGCAGCTAATGACAAATTTTACTGCTCTTTTATGGTGCTTCCATCCTGAACCTAAATAAAGGTTAGTTTGACGGGTTACTAAGCAAAAAAAATGTTTCTTGGCTTTCTCTACGAGTATGATTCTGTACAGAGATAGAGGTTGTAAATCACGTACTGCTTCAACTGGATTTTTCCCCCCAATATGTTAAAAATGACTATATTACAGTAATGATTTATGACCTTGCCCCCAGAGATATGGATTTAATCCTACCATCTAGAGTCCTGGCTGTGGATGCCGTCGGATTTTATACAGATTTATTGAACTAAACATCTCAGAGTTGTTTTTATTACACTTTTTAAGAATGCTCGTCTACGGTTTAGCATGTTGATGCTTAAAAACATTAAAAACATTACTTTTCAAAGCACTGAGTCAAAGACCCACTGCTTTCTAATGCTCTGCGTTTGGGGGCTTGATCATTTTAGAGTGTAAAACATGGTCACTCCCTCTCTCTTTTAAGAAAGTGTGGTTATAAACTGTTTCCTCTGCTGTCCTCCAGTGCTCAGCAGAAAGCCTCAGTAACCTGCTTTGCCAGGTCTACTGCATTAGCATTTTGTGATATATGACTATATATGTGATATATTTGGATGTATGTGTGTGTGTATGTATGTATGTATGTATGTATGTATGTGTATATATATATATATATATATTTATAGACACTCCTTCCTTGTCAGTCCACCTTGTAGATGTAAAGTCAGAGACGATAGCCCATCTGCTGCTGCACAGTTTGTGTTTGTCATCCTCTAGTCCCTCATCAGTGGACACAGGACGCTGTTGGCTGGATATTTTTGGTTGGTGGACTATTCTAAGTCCAGCAGCGACAGTGAGGTGTTTAAAAACTCCAGCAGCACTGCTGTGTCTGATCCACTCAGACCAGCGTAACACACACTAACACACCACCACCACGTCAGTGTTACTGCAGTGCTGAGAATGATCCACCACCCAAATAGTACCTGCTTTGTGAGGGGCCATGGGGGTCCCGTCCACTGAAAAACAGGGTAAAAGGGGGCTAACAAAGTATGCAGAGAAACAGATGGACTACAGTCTGTAATTGTAGAACTACAAAGTGCACCTATATAGTAAGTGGAGCTGATAAAATGGACAACGAGCGTAGAAACAAGGAGGTGGTCATAATGTTATGCCTGATCGGTGTATATTGTTTGTAGATTTTTATAACGCATTGTTTATCTATTTTTCACTTTATTTGAATTGCTACTGACACCTGCACTGAGAGAAATTCCATGTACATCTTGTACTTGATAAAGTGTTCCAGTTCTAATTTAGAGCTGTAGAGTGTATATATAGATTTTTGTAAGTTTTTACAACCACCCCAGACAACACTTAATTCCACTAATTAGCATCCTGTCTTTACGAAGCTAAGCTCATTAGCAGGATCGAGCAGCACTGAAGTAAATATGCTCACTCGCTGCGGCTCCTGATAGATGAATGACATTGAGGAGCTCCTCTTTTCTGCTGTTATTGATCTGCTGCTGGTCAACGAGCACTTGTGTCGAAGATGCTTTACTGTCAGTAACTGGAGTGAGCTCTTAATGGCCGTGACTGCAGTTCATACAGTTCAGAATGCCGCTAGCGTAATTGCATTAGCATGCTAATGGACGTCTGTCTCTGTAGCGCTGTGAGGAAGCTGTCGGCTAATGACGAGGCAGGACTGTGGAATATGAGTGGACTTACCTCGGGTGTAACCAGAATCCAAAATGAGCAATTTCTGCAAAACTAGCAACAAAATGGATTAGCAAAACTGGCAAAAAGGGGATTAGCAATATTAGCAAAGTTGATCAAAAGAGGAGTTTTGCTAATAAAGCTCATTTTAATCCAAGCATTTTCATTTTGAGTTGACTATGAATAGAACTGAATTCAGATGGGGTTCAAAATTAGCAATGTTAGCAAATTTAGCAAAAAAATGGTCTTTTGCGAGTTAAAAAGCCAGTTAAGCCATTTAGGAATGCATTGGAGGTCTGAAGTTTTGCTGTGCTATTTGAATGTGATCATGTAAATACATAATTAATTATATGGTTACATAATGAATTACCTTTACTGTCAGTTTCTGCTCTGTATGGACAGGTTTGAGTCTGCACTTTTAACCTTTTCTGTTTTTTTTTAATGTCAAAAAATGACAAACAGGAAAAACCTTCACCTTACGGTGCTCAAAAGCTTTAATTAATCTCTGTTTATGTGTATGTAATGTTTGATGTTCTCCTGCTGTTTATATTTGAATGTACACTGTTAAAAATGCAAAGTTTTGGTGTAGAACCATGGACACTCAAAGAACCACTTGTATTCTTAAATGGTTCTTTACATGGTAAAATAGTTCTTTAGATTGAGGGAGAATGTTATATATGGGTTCTATATAGCACCAAAAAGAGTTATGCTGTTATTATGATATCAAGCTTTTGACAATAGTAGAACTCTTTTTGGTTCTATAAAGAACCGTTTTCAAAAAGGTTCTATATAGAATCATGTACAACACATTCTCTATCAATCTAAAAAACATTTCTACTCATTAGGTTGAATGAAAAACTGACTCTAAATGGTTGTGTGGGTGTTCATTGTTCTATATACAACCGTTGTCTTTACTAAAGAACTTTTGATGAACCATCTTTTTTAAGAGTGTAGTTATGGTAGATATTGTAATCATGTTCTACAGTTTCTCATTAGGCTGAATGAATAACTGGCTCTAAATGTAAGTATTGTGATATAAACTGAGTCTGTTTTACAGTTGCTCATTAGATTGAATGGGATTTTTACCAACGTTCTGTAAAGCTTGTTTAAGTTTTTGATTTTTTTTCTTGCTTTTGATGTAGTTATGTACACATTGTTAAAAAAAATGAACTGTTTACAATAACGTCTATTTTTAAAATCAGTTTTCGTAATGTGTTGGTTTTTGTGACTATTTGCATATTTGCATATTATGCTTATTTGCATATCAGTCTTAAAGGCACAATAACAGAAACAGTCTGTTTAATTGTACGGGATAAAAGGAGGTTGACAAACGGTTAGGTAAAAATGAATTAAGGCTTTTTTTTGGTTCATACGCATACACACACACACATACTTGGTAACTGGACATCAGGGATTAAAATCATAAAATAAAAAGTAGAATTTGGCCATTTTAACACTTTTTATGTGTTTGTTTGGCAGGATATACGAGAGGGTGATAGACCCTCCGCAGATGGACTTGACGGCAGGCAGTGGGATCTGGCTCGGTCAGCACAGTCACAGACACGGCCTCTTCAAGGTAAAACTCAAAATAATCTACACTGGGAGAAAAACAGTGTGCTTGGTGGCGGCTCATTAGGGACATCAAATGGAGGGAATATTTATAGACCTTATGAGATGGATAGTGTGTTTATTTGTGTGAAGTTTTTAAATATGTGCTATAGTATGCAGTGTGTTGGTGCATCTGTGAAAAGAGTTTTGACAGTTTGACAGAACACCTTTAGTGGGTGTTTTAGATACAGTTTAAATGTAGTAAATGGTAATTTACTACAGTCAAATGCTATGTTAATATAGGGACTATATTGAATTTTACAGCATATTATCTGAAGTTATTGTCATTATTGTTATTATTATTAAGACTTAAGTCAGTTCCGACTCCTGGTGACTATATGGACACTAGGGGTGGCAATCTTTAGGCACCTCACGATTCAATTCGATAACGATTCAGAGGGCTGCGATGCGATTATAAAACAATATCGATGCATCTTTTTTTTTCTGTACAGCATTTCTATTTTCTCATTGTGTGAGTTCAAGTTCAAGTTTCAAGTTTATTTGTCATTTGCACAACATGTCAGGGCATTTATGAAATGCTTGTGGTGAGGCTCAGCTAATCACTCTACAGAAAGTAAATAAGTAAAAATAAAAGTACAAGAAAAATCAACTGAAATATATTAAATATACACAAAATATACACAGAATATAGAGACAATATACATTTTAAAGTGACTAAAGTGACTCAGTGTTGTTATTTAAAGTGACTTGGTACTTTTAAACCAAAGTATTTGTAATGATCCATAATGAATTTACTTCCAATATCTTTTTTATTTAAACAAATGGAAGTGATGTGGCAAGTGAACTAGAAGGCTCTCATTCACTGCTTTCTGCCACTCATCTGCGATAAAATGCGCAGTTATGGTGACAAAAGATCCTGTGGTAATGGTTGTCCACGTAACATGTTACAGCTGTCCTACCCGTTTTCTTTAGTGATTTTATAACTTCGGGTTTTGGTCTCGTTGTAGAGAGTAGGGCAGGGGAATCGCTGTGTCAGTAAAATAGCCCCGAGACGGGGCGTTTGCAACATAGCGCAAAAGCCCTGTTTTGCAACGACTGAGAATTGCCGTGCAGACTGCAGGTCACATAGCAGCGATGCGTTATTCGCATTTATAAGCAGCGCAGTTGGTTTCCTGGTACGTTAAATCTGCAACGAGAGACTGTCACACACTAAAAAGTTGCGAAGATGAAGTCACTTCTCTTTCGAATTTTCCCATTCCACTTTAAATGGTGTCGCATTTACATTCGGCGCCTCAGTCAGAATTTAAGATGGAACGGGAAAATTCGAACAAGAAGCTGGAGAATAAGAAGCGACTTCAGCCTCGTGAAACAGTTGAACGCTGAGAGACATTTTACAATAAGCTGCTCTAGTTTTGAATAAAAGTTTCCTGAGGGAAAGGGCAGGAAAGCGGCTAAAGCTTAAAGCAGAGCAAAGTAAGTGCGCTCTCGTTTATATTGTTTAGCCTATACTAGGATATTATCACATACTGACACATACTGGACATAAAATGTTGTGGCTCCCAAGCTGGTTTGATTTTTGTTGAAAGGACAAAATGTCTCTTCTTATCATTTGGGTTGTGACTCCTGATCTAACCTGGCTTTTAATGCAGAGGCTGCCAGTCGGATTTCTCCCTCATCCAGTAGTGTTTTTGTTATGTGCCGCCACAGACTGTCTGGGCACTGCACTTCCGCACTTCCAAGTTCCGCCTTTTGCGTTCCGTCAACATTACGTTATAAATTAAATATTTAGAAAATCTATTTTTGACATTTGTTAATCGAATCAGAATCATTCACGTCCGCATCGCGATGCATCTAAGAATCGCTTTTTTCTTGCACCCCTAATGGACACACTCTTAAAAAAGATTTTTTCAAGGGTTTTTTAGCGAAGACAGTGAATCTATATAGACTAGAAACACTCCTACATTACTACATTAACTGTTCGGCGACTTGAGTCAGTGGCTTATACAGAAAAGGCTCAAGACACACTGTCTGATTAGAAACATCTTCCATCGTCAAAGACAGGGATGGTAGTGGAGAAAAATCTTCAACCTTGTAAGATCTCAAAGTTGCCGTTTGATTCTGTCACTCTCCATATTTTCTGGTAGCTCTAAACACAGCAGCCCAGCCTGCCCGGTTTGCCTCCTAGCCTCACCTCCAAAGCTGAACATCGCTACAGGGCCCCTCCCAGTGTGCCCCTCCCGTTTTTAAGCATTTTTCAAAGTTGAGCCAGGGGTGGAGTTAGCTGAAAATAGTGGAGTGTAGTTACTCTTTAAGATACCCGGCCCTGTCTGCCAATGAAATAAGAGTGTTTCATTAGTCAAAATGACCTAAAACGAGCAAAATGGCCAGAAAGAGTCTTAAATAAACATATATAAAATTCTTACACCAATCTCATTATGAGAAATCTTAGACGTGTGAGGGTGCTTTCTGAGGGTGTTGAGAACATTTGCAGTAGGATGGTGGCTGCAGTATGTTAAAAGTTAATGCAGAAAAAAAGCTAACCCAACCTTTGTAGCCTAAGCTCGTTAACTTATGCTAGCTGTTCTCTAGCATTAGCAGCATCACAACCTAGCTTTTAGCATGCTGCCTGTTTGATTCCAAGCACAGACGTTTAACAGGGAGACTGTATCATACCAAACAGGTTGTTCACAGATGTGACAGGTTGGGGTCGTACACTGCCTCAGCAGTCATCTAGTGTTTGCTGCAGTGGCCCTAAATCTTTACATTCTGCAAGCTGTTCATGGCACTTATCAGCCGCTACATGGAGACTTGCAAGAATCCCACTTAATCGGTCTGTCAGGTTACCTACTCATGCTGAACGTTATCAGTATAAGGCCAGTTAAGTCTAAAAGGCTAAAAACTACAATATCTACAAATATAATAACTAAGAATTACCAATAATAACTAGAACACTAAATAATGCGCTAATTGCGATGAAACGATATGTAAGGAAAAACATCAAAACGGTGCTGATGTTCTCCCTCACTTTAGGCTCATGTGGTTTCATATTTATGAGCGCAGCACGAGCAGAACCATCTCTCTACACGGCTCTGGGCACGAGTAGGGTGTAACGTTGGTTGACTGATTTGCATGCTGTGACGTGTCATCGTACTTTTGCAGAGTTGAACCAGAGGGGGCGCTGCAGAGGCGGAACTGACCCCAATAAAAGTGGTATTTTTACAGCTTGGAAAGACATGTTCACATTTCAAGCAAGGCTGGTATATTTTATGGTTACAGAGCAGTGCATTTCAGCTATTAATGGAAAAAAAAAGGTCTTAACTTGTAGTAACTCTTTCTGCTGCTAGAATCTGAATTTCACCAAATAAAATACTCTAACCAAGTGAAATTGTATAGAAATAGGTTGAATATTAATTATTAGATTGATTATTAATATTTTTGCAGTATTCAAGATCAAATGCACCCAGAAAAAGTAAAAGTGTAATGACTAAATGATTGTATCTTCAGTTCTATAATAGCATGGCTAATGCTGTTTGAGAAAGGAAAGCTCTTTGTGTTGCTGAGGGTTATATTCATAAAGCTAGAATGAGAAGGTTATTGACTGTGCAGAATCTGTATTAATCCTATTCAGATAGTAAAAGGGCAATTGCACACTTCACTCCTCACTTCTGAAAAGATGATGGAAGGAACAGAGCTGCTTCATTCAGAAATATGGATTGCTCGACACTTTCAGCATTTAGGGTCATTTACATTCGGGCTATTTTGAACAAACGATCATCTTTGAGTCCTTCAGCTCAGTTCTAGCCCTTTATGTCTCCTCCAGAGGAAAGAGAGGCTTTTATCTCACTTTTCACCGTTCAGTCCGGGAGGCTCCACTGTGATCATAATGAAACAGAAGTTTTGTTGTTTGTTAGTTTTTCAAATTGAAATGCTGGAGTGGGGCTCGTAACTACATCCATGTATCTCTGCCTAATTGTGCTTCAAGATGCAGGAGGTTGCACCTGAAGCCAGAGGTTTTTGCTCTTTCTTTATCCTTGTCAGATTGTCAGCTTGTTAATGTCTTATTGAAAGTTCTCAGAGTTGTCTTGCAAAGGGTTCTTTGAGTCTTAAAAGTTATTTGCTAAAGAAACCTTGAAGAATCTTTTTGTGCAACCCCTCATTTATTAATTCAGTAAGTCAAAATGGCTGTTAACCTGTGAACTGTGGCCCCATTTCTGTCTGAAACATCATACCCAAAGTAAAGGGGGCACTGTTCCCACATACTTTGGGCTGCAGTCATGATCTCGGTCTCATTTGAAAGGAAACACTCTCAAGATTAATAATAACTTTATGAATGACTGAGGCAGAGTAACAGAGTCTAGAAGGAGTCTAGAATTTCCTCCTGACTTATAAATCTCTAGACTGATCTCTGACTCTTGTTATCAGTGTTATCAGACCATGTTTTGGATTATGGTGTCTCTGTGGAGAGCGGCGAGGCTTTGAAGGTGAGGACACACAGATTTGCTGGCATTTGCTCATTCAGTGCTAATGCTGCAAATGAGACAATCGTAACTGCTGTGAATAACAGATCATAAAATGGTTTGTGTAATCAAATCCTGAGATTTCAAGCTCTCTAGTGGTTTGTTGCATCACTGCATTGCTGGACAATTTGATGCATAAAAACGATATATTAAAAAGAAGTGAACGTTTTAGCCGAAGTGTACTGGTACAGCAATCTAAAAAAAAAGGTAAAGAATAAATTATTCATTTTTTTGTGAGGAACAGAAATAAAAGGAAGAAAATCTCACAGAAGCCTTTACATCTGAATCTAAGTGTTCAGTGTGTCACTCTTTACCTTTACCTTTTACAGCTTCCATTCTTTTCATGAGACTTTTTTTTTCTCATGAGTCATGAGACTTTGTTTCTTAAGGAAATCTGCAGACACACCTCCAAAGTTCAGTTTCAATTAGTGCTCCCACAGTAGAAAAAACATTTAAAATTTAAAAAAACATTTAAAAACTATTAAGTATT